GAAAAACTGTCAAACGAAAACAATTCTTACGAATGCGATAACGAAGAGATATAAGTATGATTGAGTTCTAGAGAAAAGTTGTAGAGCTTGATAATTGCCTACAAAAAATATGTCTAACTTTTATATAATATAAAACAAATCTGTTTGTTTGCGATAAACTCAGGAACTTCTGCTTGGAATTTAGTGTGATCTTCACAAATATTTAGAATGATCCATGATGAAGGCTTTAAAAATAAAACAATTTTTACGGCCCGTGCGAAGTCTGGGCGTTTAGCTATTACTAATATTGAAATTGATGATTGCTAGAATTTTCCTGGAATGTTTATAAAACTGCTTAAATTACAAGTACATTTCCCACGGCAAAGTATCTCGTTACTTTTTATGTAATCATTAAAATGTATAAAGAATGTAAATGTATAAAAGCGATAACGCACATACATTGCATTATTTACAATGCCTATTTTAAACATACTTTTTAACTTCTCATGCCTGTGAAAGGCACGTTATTTTCATAGGAAATATAATAACACTGGCTATATACTTCCCAATGTTCTGTAGGACAAATTGAGAATTAAGAAAATTGTATTGAAAATCTTAATTATAATGCGCATAGTAAACATTGTGACACGATAAAGCTATCCTATATTTATTCTGTAAATCGAAAGAGAAGACTTTTCATATTTACATCTAAATAAAGGCAAAAAATCGTACTTTATAAAAATATTTAGTTTTTCTTTTACATTTAGGATTATGCGTGCTAGCGAAGGTTATAAAATTTATAACACATGTCCAATTGGTTAAGGTATAAAACGCCGATAGAAAAATACTTATTTACCTTTTTATATATGTATAAAAATTTAAACAGTACCTAAAATCATCTAACGATACTTCAAGGTAAATGGAATTGATTCACACACGGTTATGTTAATATAAATTAATCAATCTATTTCTGTCACATAAATCTTCAGTGGCCATTCGTAACTAGCCTAAACCATCATATTATAGTATATCTATGGCTCTGAATACAATGGCATGACGTCATCAAACATATTTTGACTTTGTTAGTATAAAATGCGCTTATCAGGAATTGGACATTCTTATTTTTCCTTAAGTATCGTCGGGACAATTTATTATTTTAATTACCAGTTTATTGGAATTCGGGTAAAGTGTACCTTTATTCCTATTCCATAAATTCTATTGTTTTCGTGTTACGTAAGAATGATGAAATATTTCGTCACAAATATCATTTGTGTTAATAGTTTTCCTTAGACACAATTCCAAGAAATTATCAACGCAGTATTACGTATTTTATAATTATTGAAGTGCCACGACTTTTCTTGGTGTATGAAAACTTGAAGCATTGTTTAAGGCGACGCGATAAACGGGGCCTAATTCTAGCGAGCGAGCATTGCTTCTAAACATTTGTATAGCTTGTATTATTATTACAATAAGAGCTGCAATGTCATGGCAGCGACTTTGTAGAAAATTAACGTTCTCGTTCACACTAGTCAAACTCCTGCGCATGCGGTATGCACGTGATCGTTTGTTACGACATTACTTAGGTTTAAAATAAACTAGCGCCTACAAGGAGTTTATAAGAGCTGTTTCAATGTAACCAAATTATTTTTAACGATAAGTTTTTAAGTTATTTTATTTAAAAAAACTTTTCATTTATATATCAGAAAGACGCTATTGAAGTGAAATACAAGTATAATTCAATATTGTTCTTCCACAATAGTTTATAAATTTACTTGAGTAAATAATATTACGCATTCAAAAATAGCGATATAAGGGTGACCTCGTAATAAGTTTTTCGGCGCCATCACGGGGTGGATACCAGACAGTTGCGTCACCTGAATCTATTCATTCATCTTGCTACTGGAACTAGGCTGGAACCATGCCGATTACACAAACATACTAAATACGTATAATATTATATATGTAATACAAATGTGAATTCTTTTTTTAAATAATTTTATTAAAATTTTCATTGCTCTTACAAATTATATGTCCTCTGTTGAGCTACCAAAAAACGTTGACCCTTTCAGGGTCGTCACCGTTGACAGAATAAGGGCCAATCTACGAATGCGGTAGACATAGTTCCTTCCGCTATAGTAAGCCAAAACCTTCATTGATAAGACCAAATCAAAGAATAGATTTGTGCATGCAAAATGGGTATTTTAGCGAAATGTCTAACGCCAGTGTTTAACCGTCTTGTATATGTCAAATTGTCGGAATTGAATTTTTTTGTCAATCAAGTATGTGTGTATATCGTGTGTTGAGGTTTGGAGGTTTGTCCTCGAACTTCTCAGCAAGTACATCAACCATATGAGATATATTCTAGCATAGAATCAAAAAGTTGATAGTTGCTGTATATAAGGTATTTGCCTAAATTTTGTTTATTAATTATAATTGTCAATTTTTATAAAGGATAGGATATTACCATGATCTTGACAAGTATTAAATGATATGGTAAAATATATCCGCGTAAAATTGTGTTAGGTACATATTACAGCGCCTTATATTACGTTTCACGAAATTCAAAGTAATGCAACTGGTTTACTGTTTCATACTACTGTATGCATGTAGCGGAATTAATAAGAGTAATCCTTTGTCCCATAAGCAACAGCTTCCGCTATCTAGGACAAGGTCATGTGAACCGAGTGACGTAGGTTTCAGTGTCTTCCTAGTACATAACGATTATTAAACTAAATAGTCTTTGCTACCTATTTTATTCTTGACGTTATGAAACTAACATAATATTATAAAGCAACCTTTAGGAATTTGAAACATTTTTAGAAGTTAATTTTTATAAAATTACTATTAGGTTTTCTATAGAAAAATATACAACTATTACGTCTTATAATATAGGGGGATAGCGTGACCTCCGTTTGACGCTAATGATCTAAGGAAACTGCTCCTCACGGGCTTGCTAAATATAATTTTGGCAGTAACATTATTTTTAAGCATGTTCTTATATATGGCTATAGGTGACATTAGTCATAACATTATAATCATGTCAAAACTGAAGTACAAACAAGAGCTAAATTTATATTACGCGAATATTGTATCGTGTCCAGAAAATTTGTTTATTAGACTGGAGTTAAAGTTTGTGACTATAATTAAATGATACTGTGTCTACATAATTTTTCTTCATAAACAAAGGGATAAAAGCAGTGTTGGCCTAGTGGCTTCAACGTGCGACTCTCATCCCTGAGGAAGGTTCGATTCCCGGCTGTGCACCACTGGACATTCTGTCTATGTGCGCAATTAACATTCGCTTGAACGGTGAAGGAAAACGCCGTGGGGAAACCGGCTTGTCTTAGACCCGACATAAAACATTTGACAGCGTGTGTTAGCCACAGGAGGCTAATCACCTACTTCCCTATTACATTGCCAAATAATCATGAAACAGATACTAAAATCTGTGTCCCAGACCTAAAAAGGTTGTAGTGCCACTGATTAATTTTTTTATTAAACAAGGAGGTGATGTGTCTGTCGTAGTCGGGTTAAAGATACCTAACCTGGTTTCCTTGAGATTTTTTTTACTTTTCCGTACTATTGAAATGGTATTGTCCAACGCAACGGTATAAACGATACACTTAATCTATTAAATCTAATTAGATTTAATTATCGCGTTAAAACATAGTTTAATATACATTTATGCAAACAATAGGTATTCTATTGTTAATGTATTTAAATGTAAAAAAAATCAAAGTTCACAAATTAGTCCCTGAGTTTGCTGGTTGCTGCCTTAAATAATATAAATTTTTTGCTCTCTAGGCGATTGATATTACAGAATTGAATAATTTAAATCATGATTGACAATCAACGTTTCAATTGACTGTTACCATGACTTCAGTACATACATCTGTCGTTGAACATTTATTGTAACATAATATTCGATATATAACTTCAAGAGAGAGAGTTTGACACAACATATTAAGCGTTTATAACTAGGTACTTATAAGTACGTCGTTTATTAATAAATAATTATATATTCGCGGCGTCTAGGTTGACCTACGAGTGAGTTGCAACTGTCAACTGTTTATCTTTCTCATAAAAGAGAAAGGAAAATATGTATCGATTCACTTGTTTTTTCTTCCAATAAATTTACCTAGATATATCCACAAAAATAAGAATGCAGGTGTATATGTATAATCTATCACATTCAAAACATAATAATACACGTAGAATACAATTAATTACCTATGGATATGCTGTAGGTAACTCTGTCTTAAGGCTCACGTTTTAACGTCAGTGTTTACATAAAATTCCTTTTTAAACACACACACACAATGTCGGCTTATAATTTTGAAAATCTTGATTATAATAAACAGCAGCCCTGTTTGTAAGTAAGAATTTAATGCAAATAATTAATAACTCACAGGAGTTTTATAATTTTTGTAAAAGTTATATGATTCAATTTATTTATGAAAATAAGAATTTAACTTACACTTTATAAGTATTTTACTGACGAATTCTTAAGGCATTGTTCTTGGTGTGGTTTCCGTTTGTTTTTTGACCCCCCTCTTGTTCCTGTCCTTGTTACAGTAAGTACTAAATCACTTGCATCCGGCTTAGATTTATTGAGAGCTTGACGTGTGATTCGCAATTTTTATTATATATACGATATAAATTCTAAGAGTGCAGTGTATGTGCAGACGGGTATAATAATACAAATATGTTATTCCATAAAAATACATACACATATACGACACGTAGGTAAAAATAAAAGTTATATTCATATTTATATGAAGTATCCACGGATAAAGTCCCCTCCAGCCATCTTTCGCCTTCGTGGTTCAAACATTAGACTATGTAAAATAGTGCGCAAATATGCCTATAACAGAAATACGAATAACTTGATAAAAAAAATTAGTAAAGTTGTTGTCATGATGACAATTTATATAAATCTCATATAGGAGCCAAAATTACGAAGTGGCCAAACGTAAATTTACATTTTAGTAAAAGTTGATGATTTAAGGATATTGCGACTAATGAAATCATCAATTCTACCGGTAATTTTGGGAAAGTTTAACGTACCTAAACGACCGTAAACCATCTTCCAAATGGTATCTTTTATAAACAACAATATCAAATTTATATTTTTAGATGATATTACGATGCGATAAAGGGTATCAATCACACCAACTGCTAATTAAACCCCGGAAAATGAATAAGTGATTGAGCAAACAATTACTCAGACTCACGGTCTTGATAAAGAAACACTAAGAAACCGATTCTAGAACATCTACTTGAAAGAGTAAACACGCTTAATAAGGGTATTTTGAGGTTGTTCAACACGTTACGAATTTTGTTGTTAACGTTTCAGTATTCGTCGTTGTATGTTGACGAATGATTATAAATAGCAACAGATAAGAATTTCGTTATAGATTAGATGACTGTTGAAAGACGTAGAGCTTTGGGAGGTGTGTCTCGATAAAACTCCCAAACTACGACCTTGTAAAACCTAATGCGCACTTGTTGTCAAGACATAATGTATCGGCGTCACATCTTAAGATTATTTTACCTATTAGTATCTCGTGACGGAGATTACAATAAACTCTATATTAGAGCGCACTATGTCCATCGAATATCGTGCTGCCGTGAGATTGTTCTTTGTTGACAATGCTGTATTTGTTACAATTCAATTGTCACGATCATGCAACTTCTACATGTTCAATACTGCATTTAGTAGTTAATCACATATTTCTAGATTTATTCAACAACTACCGAGCGAAATAGCTCCCGATTCCTTCCCAATTTAATATTGGTAACCAGTACAATCCAGTTTATTCAAGGGGCGATCGTTAAGTGGACGAACTAAGTACCACACACAATCAATAAAGGATCTTAACCTATCCATTTAAAGTTGAACTTTGTTTAAAATTTATCAAAATACATATACTTATCTGCTTAGTAATCAATTCAGTTAGGGGAATAAAATTGCATGCATACATTAGCTTCAATCCGATTGTGACTCATGGTCAACTTAAAGGGGTAGTCAATGTTCATGTTATTTTAACACCTTTAGAAAGTTACACAACTACCAGTTATGTTTGAATTGTGACACATTTATTAATAATATGTATTTTAAACATCGTTATCATAAATACACTCTCCACAACAGGCTCAAAGCGCTTAGTAGTAAATATGTTATCATCTGTCTATGTATATACTAAAAACTCAGTTTCATTATAATATTATGGCACGCAGGTTCGTGGTATCATCATTACCAAAAGCTACTATAAGTCTTGTAGTTCTTTTGAACAAAACGTGACCGGCTTCCTCGCTCATTTTGAGCGTTGCCTATTTATATCCCACCAAAATAACTCTGATGTGATCACGTGGCAAAATCACGAGTATTATGAGCCCCAAACCTGGATGCCAGTTTAACGTCATTTGGCGTCACACACTCCAAAACATGTAAAAAAAATTAAACAAACGATGACGGAAATAAACAACTTTGTTGCAAATTATCGAAATAATATTTCAGAGACTTAAATAAAACTGAGGGCAAAATGGCTATTATTCTAAAATTTTGAAAACTATATAAGCCATTATGTAAAATGAATAAAGTTCGAGATTGAATGAACACTTAAATTAATATAAATCTTCAAATTGTTTCAGAAACCTCAACTGCGGCCGATGATAGCCGAGTATGATCCAAAGAAAAAAGGAGTCAAAAATGACTTATCTGATGTCGTCATGGTCAAGTAAGTATCAGTATCAGTGTTATGTGTCTATGCATCACATTATCGGTCTTACATGAGCATTAATCATCGATTTTACTAACCGAAAATGCATTTTGTGTCTTAATAAAAAAGCCAAGTGTCTTTTCATTTTATTATTGCTTGTTTAAATTGAATATGATTAGTTTTGAAAAAACTCATAAATTCAAAAGCATGTTCACAGCTTGTAGACCATTTAGTTATCAAAATTTAGTGTGTTACCTAATGTAAACATAGTTTTTCGTGAAATTGAATTGTAATAATATTCATATATTTTTGTTCAACAGGACAATGAAAAAGAAAATAATATCTAGTAATCTATCATGCCTAACAGATTTAGTATTGGGTCCTAGAAATTTTTGCGATTTCTGGACCGCTGAACTTACAGGTCTATTTCACATTTTTTCATTGCATATTTTAATGATTTTTGTCGTTAAAATGGTATTTTATATTGTATGTTGACTGTTAAGTACTTGCTCCTTATACGAGCTAATTAAACGCTCGTCGCCGTTCGGACGATCTGGAAAGATGCGTGCAGCTTCCACGAGATCTAAGTCGCTCGACGACCTTGATCATCTCGCTATGGACTCATACACCGGTACATCATTCCATTTTATGGTTTCAATTTTATTTTATATTGTTTGGTATTGGTAAATCTGAAGCATACTAATAATAATTAAGGCAGTTGAAGCCGAAGTATGCAGATATGCCTTGGCGGCTTCTCCGTCCCACGCGCTATCTCTGTTCAGGTTCGGGATTGACCCTTAATCATTTATTTTGTACAAATTTAATTTAGCTTTATGTTTTTTTAATTAGTGGTACAGAATTCACTCCGGTGTCAAAATTGCTGCTCCAAAAGTATGAATTACGCTACTCTCCCTTTCGTTAACGTAAAGCTGTATTGAATTTTGAGATAGGGTCATTTTTTTGTAAATGCCAAATCTTAACAGAGTGCAACGCATTATTACAATTTGTCACAATTTACATATTTTGGAGACCATAATACAAAAACACACCACCATCAAATACTCAAACAAAACTAAACTAATTTACGTTATAATGATACCGTATATAATAATAGACAACAAACTTTAAAAGTTGACATGAATCCGCGTTTCGTAGCTTCAATAGGAATCAACATAACACCATACACACTTTCGATTTTAACGTTTCATATCCACCTTAAAACGCGCTTATTGTATCGCCACGTTCAACCACGCGAGATATTATCATTACTTTTGTGCTTTATATCTGTATACAAAACTACACTAAACTCACAGCTACCTTAAACACTACTTAATATTTAATATTCTGAATCATTATTAATTTATCTTATTAAATGCTCACAGATACAAAGTTGATCCAAATGATATCCCTGTGGAACAACAAGCGGGATCAACACTCCCTCTTATGGAGATACCAGGCCGAGATATCGAAGGAGATGAGGACTTTAATCCATTTGAACACCGAAAACTGGCTCACCCTACATCGTAAGTCATAATTTGAAAATTTATCATAGATTAATCTTAAGGTGGAATGCGATGATCTGTAACTTCATAGAAATTAAATTAAAATGAGTGGATGGGTTCCGGCAAAGTATTTTATATGTTCGTTGTGATAAATCTGTATTTTTTTTAATTTACAGGGACATGGATACGTTAATTCACTTGCTAAAAGGATCATTAGGCAGTGGTATATTGGCTATGCCAATGGCGTTCATGAATGCAGGGCTTTACTTTGGATTGGTGGCAACTTTCCTCATCGGTGGTATTTGCACATACTGTGTTCATATCCTTGTTAAAACATCTCATGAGCTCTGTAAGAGAATGCAAAAACCATCCCTTGGTTTTGCTGAAACAGCGGAAGCTGCCTTCCTTTCTGGACCTCCAGCTGCACATAAATTCTCACGACTTGCCAAGTAAGTAGTTTTGACTTTCCACGATAATATGTAGTAGGTCTTTCTAACTTAAGCTTTGGGAATGTAAAATTGTTTCGAATTTATTATTACGCAATATTTGAAAAATTACAACTGTTTTAGAGTCGATTCCAACTTAACCAGTTTCCTGATTCACATCGTGATTTTACAAATAGAATGTGTCAACTAACCCAAGATGTGACACGGGACACCACACTATAATCTCGGTGTAAAATACATATTTTCTTTATTTTCAGAGCTATGATAAACTGGTTTCTGGTGATCGATTTACTGGGATGCTGTTGCGTGTATATCGTGTTCGTGTCAAAAAACATAAAGCAAGTTGTAGACAACTACACGCTTGATAGCGAATGGGCACCCCACGATGTAGATGTCAGAATTTATATGGCAGTTCTTCTTCCTCTTTTGATTTCAATGAATCTCATTAGAAATCTGAAGTACTTGGCTCCATTTTCAATGATTGCAAATCTTTTGGTGGGAACTGGAATGGTTATCACATTCTACTATCTCTTTCAAGATATTCCTGCTATTAGTGAAAGAAAACAGTTTGCGGGTGTCGCCCGTCTACCAACGTTCTTCGGCACGGCTATATTCGCCTTGGAAGGAATCGGTGTTGTTATGCCTCTTGAAAATAACATGAAGACTCCTACTCATTTCATCGGATGTCCTGGAGTGCTCAACACCGGGATGTTCTTTGTCGTATCACTCTACGCTTTAGTTGGATTCTTCGGATATTTGAAATACGGAGATGGAACTTCTGGAAGCATTACCCTGAACTTGCCGCAAGATGAAGTGTAAGCATAAATAATTTTGTATATTTCAAAATATTAATTTAATAGGAATCAACATACATAGTATACGTAACACGTCCCACGTTCGTACATATCTTGTACAAACGTGAACGTGAACGTCATAAAATTTGTACCGTTTTCAACTAAATTAGTAATACTAAAATTCATAATAATATTTTTTTTAGATTGGGCCAATGTGTCAAGTTGATGATCGCTGTAGCTATTTTCTTCACATATAGTCTTCAGTTCTACGTGCCAATGGAAATAATCTGGAAAAATATACGCCACAGATTCGGAGCTAAGAAAAACCTCGCCGAATATTCTATAAGAATTGCAATTATAATAATAACACTCGGTATTGCTATCGCTATACCTAATCTTGGACCTTTCATCTCTCTTGTTGGTGCTGTCTGTCTCTCCTTCTTGGGTCTTATATTCCCTGCTGTCATTGAAACCGTTACTTATTGGGACAGGCCAAACGGGCTTGGCCGTTTCAATTGGGTCCTATGGAAAAACATGTTCTTGGTATCATTCGGAATACTGGGATTCCTCACCGGTGCCTATGTAAGCATTTTAGACATAATCAAAGGAGAAGAGTAAGACATCAATGACAAGACTATAAAATATAAGGCTCAAAAAAATTGTTAAGGGTTACTATCTTATAATTTCATTTTACTTCAATTTTATACAAATAATACCATTTAAAATAAATTTAAAGAAATGTGTGTTAGATGTTCTCCGTTGAGTTTTATGCGTTCAAATATTGTTGTTTGAGATTAACGATTATTACCTGACTTGATTTTGTCTAGAAGGCTGTTTTTCTAAAGTTTTGTAGCCCGAATCTATGTAGCCATTTAAATAGGTTAAGCGCTCTGTAGGTAGGATCATTATATATAACTTAATGAATTGTGTGAGAATTTTTCTAGTGCATTAATGAAATGTGATAAATCATTAGTTTAGGTAAAGCATAAATTACATTGCGTAATATACTAAATTTATTTTATTCGTTTTGAAAACGTTGACAATATGCTGAGAATACCTACTGTATTTTAATGTTTTTGTAATACATAAATAATTTATAATTTCTGGAATGTATTTAAAAGTTGACTGTGATGCTTGATAAATATGTATATTTTTTAAACAAACACTTTATTAGGTTAATCTGTTAAATCAGTTATACGAGTACATTCTATTTAAAAATTATTGGTCGTAAATGCATTGAGTTGTCAAGCATATAGTATTGTAGTACATATTATCTCAAGATCTGCTAAAAAGTCAACTATCGTAAAATATCTTAGCTGAAATGAAAACTAACGTGGAACATTAAAAGATATATTTATGAGTCAAAACCACGGGCATTATTATCCACTTCATTTAACTTCTACTAAACAAAGGGATAATTATAATACATAACAAAAATACATTGAATAAGGCAGTTAAAATAAATGACTGAGTTTTACATTAGTGCCTTTAACAATAATTATGATTTTTAAAGTGCACCATTTTGGAATAGTCCAACAACTAATTGAAAGTAATATCGCCTCTTTTACATTATCCTATGTTATTCTAGTTTAGTATAATTTTTTGTTTTATTGCTGAATAAGTATTATTTTCAAGAATTGCATATTTAACTACTTAATTTTTACATTAATGAAATTGTGCTTACAATTTCATTAATGTAAATTCATTAAGAAATATTGAGTAATTTTGGGATGTTAGTAGGTATTCAATATAATAGTAATTTCTTGTATTTATATAATAAAAAATCTAATTTTCTGTATTACTCAGCCCAAATTGGATGTTTTCTTTCAAAATCATACCAGCATATTATATTATTAAAAACATGATTGTAACAATATCGTTGTTATATTAACTGTCCGTAATGGCTTTAGGCAAATAGTGTTATGCATTTTTATCTACAATATACAAGAGCTCAAACACAGTTTTCTCAAAAAATAGTATATAATGGAACTATTAGTGTAATTAAAATATCATCAAAATTCACTATTTTCGTAAAACTTTAATACAATTATTTTGTATCAAATGTCTCATAGGTTTTCTTAATTAAAGAGAATCATTCCTATTTTCATAGATATAGATACATTTTAGTTTTATAATGCAAGTATTACACATTCACTATATGAAATACAGCTTTTAACGATTAGTTAACGTAAGATTGTGTCAATAAAACGGATCGTTATAAACTGTATTTCAAATACATTTTACTAATAAGTAAAATTCAGTATACCATTCCGCTTACTTTATCAAGGAGTGGACTCTGTTTTGTTACAGTATTAAATAAATAAGCTTAAGGGTAATCTTTGTTTTATTTCACGACTCAGTACAAGAAATTCTTCAAAAACGTGTAATTAGTATCTAAAGTCAAGAAAAGTGTTTAATTTCTCCAATTTGAACGTTTAAACTTGATGCTCTTTTAATCTATAGTCAAGAAATTGGCGCCAGTAAGAATCATCGTGTACTTGTATTTTCAAAGATTTTTTATATATTCAATATAATATGAATATATAAAAAATCTTTGAATGTTAAATGGTTGTCGTAAAGTGTATTTGTAAAACAAACTCGCTTTTCACCGTGTGCCAATTATTTTACCGTTCACTTTTCTGTATCCACGCAAACGAAGTCGCTACCAGTAGCTATATTATAAAGGTAACCAGTAACTAGGTACCAGTAGCTATATTATAAAGGTTATTTGACATCAGAAATACTGAAACATTTTGATGCATTTGTGCAATACGCCACAATAATTTGCTCAAAAACATCTCATAGTACCTACCATTTTTCTACGATTTTTCATAGCACTAAGTTTTTTATAGTAATTTGCCAAATTGTATACAACTTAAGCGGTCGGAACACTTCGTTAGAGCGTTTCAGGTTATTACGTCAACGCGGCCATTGAACTTAATGCAATATTATATAAATATAGATGTAATCAATTAGATCTTATAAGTTATAGTAAAAAAATCATCATATTTGCAGTTTAATTATGATGATTATAAATTATGATCGAATATCCTATGATCAGTTGATTAGTATTCAGATCTGGATTAGATTAATATATGTCCTAAGTAGGGATTATATTATTATTAAATATAGTAGGTTTAATTCTTAAAATAACTCAAGTAGTACTGCAAGATACAGCCTAGCCTCTATGTATCTCTTACAATTGTATATTTTATACACATTATTGAAATTTAGAGATGTCAATATTTTCTATAAAGACATTTATACATATTCTTATTACAAACAGACAGTTATGGCACGCGAGCTACGAGCTACGTGTGAATTAAATCCTGTGCAAGCGCAAACCTTCTGTGCAGCAAGCATTCATTCTCTTGAGGTTTGAGAACAGGAAAACGCCGCAGGGGTCCAAATCTGAATACGGTGGATGGGGAAGCAATACAAAGCCTAATTCATGAAATTTTGATATAATTTTCATTGATTTGTAACACTGTGTTGTCCTTACACACGCTCAAGTAACGCTACGTAATAGTCGCTGTTGATGGGTTTTCCCTTTTAAGAATGATCGATGGATGAATATCATAACATGCGCGTCTTAAAATATTGATGCCATAATCTTGCCAACTGACTTTTGCGTCTTTCCAGGCTTTGAAGTCGGTTATCACGTGCAGTCCACTCGGCTGTCGATCGATTGGACTCCGGTGTGAAATAATGGAGCCATTTTCAATCCATTATCTCATATCGGATAAAAAATATTTAAATGAATAATTACGGATTTATTAAAATTTAACAGCTACAAACACTGCTCAGAATTATCAATTTGTTGTTTTTGGTCGATTGTGAGCGCAGCACCTACTTGAATAGAGCTTTCGCATGTACAAATATTCTCTTTTCACTTTTTCCAAAATTATTATTATTATTTGGACATTTAGATGTTTTCGTCGGTAACAGCCTCTTTGGGGCGTCCACTACGTGCATCGTCCTCGGTGCTTATTTCGCCTCGTTAAACCTAGCCAACCAGGTGCAGAGTCCGTATAATGTGTATCAAGCCAAGCCTCAAGCCAAGTCAGTATACCGTTTTAATTACTTAATTTAAAGCAATAACCTCACGTAATTCATGTAATTGTTGTGTTAAAGATCCTTCATTGTCTACCAGGCGTTTGATTTCAGTATTACAGCGCTCCACAGTGCAGGTAAGTTTCTCTCATCAATAGCTGCATCACTTGAACTCGTAAGAGAAATAATTTCATAATCTAATCGTGATATTTTATCTGGAGACTTCTCAAGTTCTGTGTTAAGTACTGAAATCTTATTTTTCAATTCTGTGATAGATTCTTCAGCAACCAGAAGCTTCCTTGGTGCTCCCTCATATTTGAATGCAGTTGCTTCTGTAATTTGTGTATCTGAAAAAATTTGGGTAACATCAACTTTTGTTAAACATATTTTAATTAAAAAATAATGTATTGTTATAACAATCCAAATTATGGTAATCTTAGTAGAGGTATTAGGTTTTATTCCCAAAATATTAATTGATGAATATTTTAGCTTAAAAGGCTTGACTATAAATATAAATTATAAGTACAACAGATATTAAAATGTGTCTATGTCTATCTCTAGTTACAAAATCAATTCTTCTCAACCTACGAACCTACGAATGAGGCAATATATTATTTGACTTAGAATTGTATATAGAGCATTTAAAAGCAATGTTTGGTTACATATGGGTCCATTTAATAGGATCACATCCTTTTAAATCGTCTTATACAAGGATATATCAATAAAAAAAAAATTATACACGGAGTGTGTGTTCCTATATTATTATATTCATTCGAGTGTAATAAGATATCATATTTAAATAGCATAATGTCAATCTACTGAATTACTTAATTGGGGAAAACACTGGCGAAAATATAAGATGCCAGAAACTCACCGATTTGAGATTTAGTGGTTTCGAAAAAGGTTTTGATAATAATAAGTATTCTTCATATTACATGTTTTACGCCATCTTTTGTGACTTATACAAAACAACGTTATAGTTGTGCTTTGTGTTTCTAAGCATTCGAGGTTGGATTGCAATTCAGTTACGCGTTTATGAAACAGAGGACGCGGCGACCAATTTTAAAAAGAGAAAGGAAGAAATAATTTATTTAGGTTTAGTTTAAGTTACTTTTTTTTTTAATTTCGCTGGCAGCCCCTACTTAATATTATTCTATGTGTAGGTCTATTTATTTGTTATGTGTTTGTCCTTATTTTGTGGTGTAAAAAAAATACATATACATTGTACATACAAAAAAATTATAATCCGTTCAACGGAAATATTAAATGTCATAAAAAATAATAAGAGTAAGTACAGTGTAAACTCTTTATAACGAATTTCAAAGGACCGAGCATTTTCTTTCTTTAGAGAGTTCGTTATAGGAAGAGAATTATTGTATGGGTTTTGTGTTAAACCAATTAAAAAAATTAACATTTTCTACGTTATATAGAGAGTATGTTATAACGAATGATGTTATAAAGAGTTTACACTGTAGTTATTTATGGCAAAGAGTCGTCTGGATCGAGCGAGCCTTATAGATAACAATCAATAAATGTATTTAAATCCAAGAATCTTATTTTAATCAATTTCAAAAGTTCGAAGGAGATACAATTCCACGTGTTTTTTTAAGTTATGCTTCACTGCGGCCATGTTGGACTAGTGATTAGAAGTGCGACCCTCAACCCTGAAGTCGTGCGTTTAGTCTCTGGTTGTATAGCAATGTACCATTATTAAAATATTTTTAAAAAACCCTAATTTTTAAGGCTTTTCAACAATTACAGGCTATCAAACATAATATTCTGTACACCCCCTCCCCCTTCTGTAGGACCCTTTATAAACAGGTATATATACTTCTGGTATATAAATTCTACTTCTAGTCAGTTCGTACCTACTTACAAAAAATGCGTACTTAACATTCATGAAAATTCTCACCTTGACCGTTCAGAATAGAGAATAAAGAATACACAGGAAATATCACATAAATAAATGTATTTTTAAGTAAACTTAAACATTTCATCAATATTATAAATACAATACTTTTGTTGTAATAAAGGTCGGAGAAACACCTAGCCACTTATTTATTATAAGATCTTATTGAGATTAATAATAATTTGGTTAACGCAAGTACAAAATAAATAATAAAACATAATAATATAAAAATTTATAAAAAACACATAATATTTATATTTGATTTTTCAGTTTTTTATAAAACACTATTCTCACTTACCTCGACTATTGTAAAGCATAAATAGTTAATAATGTAAAAATAACATGCCTAGTTAAAAATATATTATAACTCATAAAATTAATTGTAGCAATTAACATGAATTTCGTTGAATAATCTTTATTTAAAATATTCTATCATTTCATATCTCCAAGAAAGTTTTCTATAAATAAACTCGAATCTTTGTGAAACAAGATTTTGCTTTCCTTTTAAGTTGGTACAATTCTCCTCAACCTCTCAATCTTACCCCTTTTCATTACTTTAAAAAGTTGGCCAATAGAAAAAATTTACAATACAATTCTGCACATTCAGTAAGAATAATAAAAATGAATTTAGATGTTCATATTTAGTTTTTACAGTGTTAGTTCTAATCTTAATATATATATTTCTTGTGTGCGTGTGTATGTGACTGAACTTCTCTCAAACGACTGGACCGATTTTGATGAAATTTTTTGTGTGTGTTCAAGGGGATCTGGGAATGGTTTAGATTCACAAATCAGCCCGGCAGATGGCACTGCAGTCGGTACTTTCATACTTTGCTTAATATCCTAATCGCTTTAAATATCATGCAGGACAACGTCTGTGGGCTCCACTAGTATAATATTATTTTTCTTTAAACATTTACATTATTAAAATACGTTATGCATGCGATTTACTGAGCTGGATAATTTGCGTTTGCGTTGTCATACTCTTATAATCTGATAAATCATTTCTTACAATTTCTACCTTTGACTACCTTGTGCGGATTGTTAGTGAAGTTACTATCGAGTTCTCACCTGATAAATTATTGTTGCATTATAAACCTTTTGTATCAACAACAAAGTCTAATTTCATAGCAAGTTCCGAATTTCAAGATTCCAGTACTTTATACACAAAGTCCAGTTTTCCTCGTAACATTGAGTCAATAAACGCAATGTTTTTTCTTTTGCTTGTAATTCAAAGTACTAAATTAATTTAATTACTTAAAATAAATAATTTATTGAATTACTGTTGAATCTGTAATTTATTTAAATAAAATCTAAACGTAATATTCAATAATTTATAACAATTGCATCTTTAACACGGGTTACGTAAATAAAGATAGACCCTTTTTGTTACACTTTTAGGACAATCAATGTACCGTTAGCATCATACGTTTTATATAGGACCTTCAGCTTAAGTATTCGTTTTACTATCGTGTAATGGTTCACAAAAATGTACTAAGCGGAGTTTTGTGATCTATAAGGCACTAACGATTGCTTTTGTGGCTTGATACTCGGAATTTTACACCTTACTTTATGCGGCGAAGGTGTTTAATAGCCAAGACTGAAATTAAGTTTAATCGTTCCGAGAGAGGTCAGTTAAAAAAGAGGCTCAGTAATCAGGTCCGCGCGAGCACGCATTACGCACTTACATAATGAAAGGGGGACCGAGGGTGTCAGAGGGAGGGGGCCGTCATCTGCGTACAGGGTGTCCGGCCGCCCTCGATCGATACCTATACGTGTGGACTTTATGTAAAAAGCCTCCTGTACACCCGGAGGATGCCGACCATAAGTGTCGAGAAACGAGTCGCCCGGGGAGAAGCACGAAATATCTTCAATTTTGGAGAGAAAATTTTCCAATGCGGGGGCGAGTGCCCGCGGCGGAAGGGCCCTTGCTTGTGTCCGAAAAATGCGCACCCCTTAATTGAATTTACTGATTTGCCTTTCGGAACGCACCGATGTTATTGCGGACAACTCGTTGTAGGTCGGCAAATAGTTTATCACTGCACCTACAATAAATCTCTTTTAAACTCGTAACATTTAGAAATTCAATCATGTACGAAACGAGTAAATTTAAATCAATGACCCACGTGAACGTTTTCATTATGAATGCGGCTTATTTTTAGTTCATAATGTTTCTCGACCAAGTGAGGTGAATCTGAAATAATACCTTTAAACTTGCCTGTAACGAATGAAGTATGTTATGAATTACATATAAAAGCAGTGACTGGTTTTATCCTAAAGTAAGGCGTGAAGGCTAACTAGAGTATCTTATATCACATACATTTTGTAAAATATGATTATTTCTTAATGTTTTTTATTTAACACGTTTAAAGCGACTTAATATTAGCTATAGACATTTACAGTACTAGAAGGTTCGAGTGTGAAGCGCTAGACAGCTTTAAGAATTGGTACGCTGTTTTCTTGAAGGACAAAGTAAAATTTATAATACTTCAAAGGGCAGCTGATTCCACATTGTGCCGGTTCGTAGCACAAAGTGCCTTAAAATGCTCGCCTTGCACACTTAGATTTGTGGTAACAATTTTTATTATTAATGAAAAGCTTAAGTCGCTAAAAAAATGCTCAACTTTCTTACATAAAAAGACAGACCTTTTAAAACTATGACCAAATAACACAAATACTAAGAATTATAATATGTCGTCCGAGAAAATAATCATTATTATTGTTAATTTACCTCTAAACTAGGCGAGTGTCATATTTTGTTTCATTTATTTCAACACAACAAGCCTTGTTTTGTCTAAAATTAAATTACGCTCGAGACAAAACTTAGTCGATTAGGCAAACGATACTAACATATTGTGTAACTTCTTTTCCTTAGACTTCGGATACTTGTAAGCTATATTTAGAACTTTATATTTAAAAAGTATATCCCATGAATTGAGTGTAATGGAAATGTAGGATAACATAAGAGTTAAAAGCTAGTACTTTCGATACAAATAAATTAATTTTACTGATAATTATTAATAATTATGTAAAATGAGTTAAATCACTGTCCACGCCCAATGATGGAAATCAAACTTGTCTTTTATTTATAATTCTCTTTTACATTAAACTAATTACAATTTCTTCTATACGTTTCACAATTATTTGTTCTTATGGTGTCTACAATTGATAACTTTAATTGTAATAACGATAAAAGTTTTTGTTATTGTTTCGACGGGGATCGCACCGTAATACGAAGTTCTTATTGTGTTTATAGGCATACAAAAAGGCGAGATTCTTACAAAGTATTTTGTGAAGTGACAGGCCTTTTTAGAAATAGAGACAAGGTCATTTTTGATACCGCGCCACATTCCCATTAAAATGTGTTTCTATCATGTTCATTGTTATTAGTAGAAGCCTATAATAACTAGAAATACTTTAATCTAAATGGTGCCCTATATAATAGGAAAACATTATATTACGATAACAAAATTCCAACTAAGAACAGTTTCCTTTAGAAAAATCGAACGTGATTTAAAGATACATGTTCGAAACGGAGAGTATACGTTTCTAGCAACACATGTACCTTACGAAATATATTCAACGTCGCTCCGCCGGTTACCTACCACTGCCCTGCCTACCGATACGTAGGGCGGGCAGCTATAGTCCGTGCACATGTAAAATAGCTTTCACTTTCAATATACGTGGAGTATGCTTTACATTAATATTTTATTTATCTTACGACGATCATGGACTTAGATTAGTAAGGTTATACATATATTAGTAATAATCTTTCGTCATACAAAAGCTGTGTAAAAAGGCTAATAAAGTTAACTTTATAGTAATAAAGTTAACGATTATCTAGTTGATAAAAGGGCCTGGAACTAGTTCTAGACTGGCTACATTTAATTAATTTGCGATATTTGTTTTAAAATAAGTGTTGTTTTTTTTTTTTTTTTTTTTTTTTTTTTTTTTTTTTTTTTTTTTTTTTTCTCTTTTTTTCTTCCTCCCTCTCTTTTCTCCTCTTTTTTTTTTTTTTTTTTTTTTTTTTTTTTTTTTTTTTTTTTTTTTTTTTTTTTTTTTCTTTTTTTCCTATCTTTTTTTTTTTTTTTTTTTTTTTTTTTTTTTTTTATAACCCCCCCCCTACCCCTTTTATCCCCCCCAATTTTTTTTTTTCCTTTTTTTTTTATTTTTTTTTTTTTTTTTTTTTTTTATTTTTTTTTTTTTTTTTTTTTTTTTTTTATTTTTTTAAAAATTAATTTTTTTTTTTATTTTTATTATTTATTTTTTTTTTTTTTTTTTTTTTTTTTTTTTTTTTTTTCTTTTTTTTTTTTTTTTTTTTTTTTTTTTTTTTTTTTTTTTTTTTTTTTTTTTTTTTTTTTTTTTTTTTTTGTTTTATTTTTTTTTTGTTTTCCTTTGGTTTTTTTCCCATTTAAATTTTAAACTACTTATAAAACCCGTTGTTGCGCCGGATTGTTATTTTTATAATAATTTTGATTTTAAATAATGGTTGCTCAATACATATACCCATCCTAATAGCTCCTAGACGCATGTCTCATCACCCACCTATTTTATGTCCCAATCCTATGACGGTACTAGTTCCGGAACGGGCTATAGGTGGCGCGCACGACGATGAGTCTCTAATAAGAATTAATTAGTGACAATTTTGATGACCCGCGATATGGTTGATTATTCGCCGCACGCTCGCAACGCTTCCTTTTTCTTTTAAACATTTAATTTTTTATTATAAATTTTAACTATACTTAAATTCAATTAACTTTAACTTGATTAAGTATAATTTGTGAAAGTGATTGTTCATTGGTGTACAACAAAGGAAAGAAGCCACTAGAAGAAGCCACGAGGTTCAAGGTACTGTGCCGACATCCTTTCTTTCTTTTCCCATTGTCCATTATTGAGCAATCATATTAGGTATCAATAAGAAAAAAAATACAGTCCACTATATAACCACTTCAAAAATATAGCTTATAGGTATAAAGTTTTTATATATTAACCACCCGCGCCGCCATAAAAGTTGGTCCTTCGAGCCGGATATATTTCTTAGCTTAAAGTTTTTACCTACGCTCCGCTTATTTTCGCTTAGTATAATAATTTAGCTAAGCAATTGTAATGTTATGCTTATAACATTTCGATCATTAATTGCATCGCTTTGTTAAACGTACGCGTGACCTTGGCATAGTTTGTCGGTCACTGCAACATATTTGCACTTCAGTAAACTTTATACCTAATTATTCTTAATTGCTTTTCTATTCTATTATATTGAATAACTATAATTTTACCGCTATTTTAAATTAAAAATGCCGAAGAGTGATAAGCTTTCGGAATCTACAGATCTAGCTGTAGATATACAACTCGTATTATTAGAACAAAAACGGAATACAATATTCATTTGTTTACAAGAGGTATTTGACTTATCTAAAGATGCGGATTGTGACCCTTTGATGAGGGAAAACTTTCTCGACGCGAGTAGTAATATTGAAACGTTACGCTCAGACTTTATTAAAATCTTAGATGATTATAATAATCGCTTGTTATCTTTAAATCCTAAGGCGACT